GTGATTTTTCTTATCACGGGCGTTAGTAATCGGGAAATATAATAGTTATTTACCGCTCAATCGCCGACATCATCAGGCGTCACGGCTGCGCCGTGACGCCTAATGATATCTCTGATTTCGCGGTAAATAACTAATACATAATTAATGACGTTTTCTTATGATAAATACTGCTGAAAATGGAGAAATAAATGCACAAAATAATCTTGCAAATTTATATTATAAAGGTGAAGGAACAGAAAAAAATCTTGAAAAAGCTTTTCATTGGTATCAAAGAGCTGCTGAGAATAATAATGCAATAGCACAAAATAATCTAGGACATTTATATAAAAATGGTGTAGGAACGGAAATGAATTTAGAAAAGGCCTTTTATTGGTATAAAAAAGCTGCTGAAAATAATAATGTTGTTGCACTAAATAATCTTGCATTATTTTATGAAAATGGCGAAGGAACAGAAAAGAATTTAGCAAAAGCCTTTTTGTTGTATCAATTAGCTGCTGAAAATAATAGTGCTGTTGCACAAAATAATCTTGCATATTTTTATGAAAACGGCGAAGGAACAGAAAAGAATTTAGCAAAAGCCTTTTATTTGTATCAAAAAGCTGCTGAAAATAATAATGTAATAACGCAAAATAAATTAGCATTTTTTTATGAAATTCCTGGTATATAAATTTTCTATAAGTTTTGTTAAATTTTAATTTTATGTTATATTATAATAAAGTTTTAATAAATTTATTTTATTAGATGATATAGATGAATATAATGGTATGTTTTTTTCTTCTTTAATATATTAATTGGGAATATTAAATTTTATAGTTTAAATCTAATATACAGTAATATAATCACTTATTTAAATGTAAAAACTATAAAAAATAATAGGAGAAATAGCTAAGAATCAAACCACAACCCATATTTCTGTAGATGTCGATAGTAATACTTTTAATAGTGTTAAGCTTAATGAGCCTATCGTTAATATTCGTAATGGTACTGGATCAAGTGTGTGTTATAAATCAAAATTTAGAGAAACATCAGAGTTTATTTCAATAAAAGCAACCATGACTCCTGGAATATCTGCTACTTCATATATTGAAATTGAAACATTGCAGGAATTACTCACTAGCCGAAAGGATGATATTGATGATTTACTAAAATCGCAGTCCGTGTATGCTATAGGAATTGACTTTAAATATGGCTCACTCAGGCCATGTATTTCTTGCTGGGTTGCCAAACCATTAGACATTTCAATCCTGGAATTACTTGAAGCCATGTTTGACAATAAGTATGAAGCTATATACCAAATATCGATCCCTGATAAAAGTGAAATTAATCAGATTTTAAGTGAACCATCAAGTATTTGTGATCAAATTGCCGAAGAAAGTGTTTATAGTAATTCAACCAATCAATTTCTACCTAATGATGAAGATAATTCGAAAAATGAACAAAAAAATATTAGTAAAGAATCAGAAAAAAAAGAAGAGAAAGCTAATCGTAGTAATGATAATAGGCACGATAATGATAATAGAAGTGGTAATTATGGTAAAGATAGTGATAGTAATAATAATAGAGGCTTCAATAGTAATGGAGGTGGTAGTGATAATAATAATGGAAGTAGTAATGGTAGTAATAGTGGAAATGGTAGTGGTAGTGATGATGGCGATGATGGTGGTGGTGGCGGAGGTGATGGTGATGGTAATGGAAAAGACAAAATAGCTAATAATATTGTTATCACCTCTGATGCAATCGTTAATGCTTTAGACCCAAAGTTTTTTCAAAAATTTGCCATTGCTGCTCGTCTCCATGCTAAATTTTCTTCTCCTAAATTAGAATATGAAATTGATGTATATCTTTGCAATACAGGAACAATGCTTAGTGCTCAATTGCCATTATTTAAAAAACGCGGTTTTGGATATTTCCTTGATTCTGTTGATGTTTGTGTTTCCCCTATTCCATGCACACCTAATGTTATGAATAGTATGTTTACATCAATGGACACTCCATATCCACAACAGTTCAATAGGACTGTTGAAATTTCAAATGATCGTGAAACATCCATTGAAGGAGAAATTGGTGGAGATTTTGGAACATGACCTAAATTCTCAGCAAAAGGCGGCGTGAAAAATGTTTCAAATACTAAAGTCACATCAGAAGAGTGGGTAGTGAATTATAGTGGCTGCCATACTACTGGGAATTCTTGGTCACATCGATATTCCGCTAACAGCCTTGACAAAAATGGTATCCACAGAACAAGTTATGTTCCTGAACGTCATTCCGCCAAGTGGCGTACCAAAAAAAATATGAGTGGATTTCGTATCACTATTACTCAAGTATTACGCTATAAGATTGTCCATTTTTTAAAAGTCTTTAAACCGAAACCGGAGTTAATACCATGCCCTGTTATCGCACATAATCTTGAAATAACTTTTAACGATTTTGAAGATTTCAATGCAAAATTTGCGAAATTAGCAAAAGCCAATGATGGTTACTATGATAACGATGACGATATTAAAATTGAAAATACACATATTCAGGATTTGGATGGAAAAACCAAAATCAACCGTTCATTTGTACCAAGGGACTAATTGTATATTTAATTTTTAAATGATTTTGGACTTATTTACTATTCATTATAACCACTTCACTCTCATTGCTTTATTTTATATGTTGTAACAACGAATAAACTGATTTATTAATTTTAATAGTATGCTTTATTTTTTAAAATTATTTTATATCTATCAACTTATTATAGAATATTTGTTAGCTACTTTTAGATAAAATGAAATCAGTTTATAACAGCATATTCATTGGACTCGAGTCAAAAAAAAATTACTCGAGTCAAGTAGAGTCAAGAATTCTTTTGACTCGAAGAGTGACCGAATCAGAATTTGAGTCAGAATTCGAGTATAGGATTCGAGTATCTGACTCGAGTTAGCATTCGAATACTGTGCATTCGAGTATTAACTCGAGTTTAATTTTTTTCATGAGACGGCTATCACCTAATTTAACGACTATAATATTATTAACGGCATATCTAATAATGTTTTTTTTATCCCTATTTTTATCCTTACGAGTAATTGTAAATATTATCGTATCCCGCCACGTTAAATTCAAATATTCGTATAACATTTTAACGAATAAATAATTAAGACAAAACAAGCATTATAAAATAAAAATTAATTTTTGTAATTATGCGATGCCAGTTTCTATTCAAATTATCAATGAATATGATTTACAATAACGATCAAAATACCGTAACAATTTTATTAATATATGAAATTTTTGTCTTTTCAGGAATTTCGATAAATTTTATAATTTTCGCCAAAAGAAACATCAATTATATTGCTCGATTATCTATCTTCTGGTGGAAAAATACTATCAAAAAGATTCATATTTCTTTTTAAAAATAACATTTCACCTACTAACTCTGGTTTAAGATTTGACCTTTTTGCTGTTATATTATTTCCTACATCTGAAAACAATCTTTCGGATGGAACTGATGTTGGACAAATTCCCGAATATTTACGCGCAAGTGTTGATAATATTGGAAAACATGATTGTTTTAGTTTCCACCAGTCAAATGGATCAGTATCCTTTCCTTCCTCTTCTAAAGATAGATAATTATCTAATTCATTTTCGTTTTTACTCAATTCATTTGGTTTAGCATAAATGTCATCTAAAATTGATTTTCTTTTTTCATATACTTCATCATTATCTTCACTGCCTTCAATTGTTTCTGTATTGGAGTAAGTTTTAGGTGTAGATCGCGATATTAAAGATAAAAATGGTTCATTATCCTCATGATTCTATTATTATATTAAAAAATATAAATATGTTAATATTT